TTTTAGCTCACAGACCTGTTGTTTTTTCAGGTCACTGCACTCTCAAACAGCAGCTTCTTGCTATTTTCCCTGACATGTGTCACATTACATTGGCTTTGTTTGAAGCCAGTCCCTCTGATCCTGTCACTGACAATAAGGAGTTGTCCCTCATTGCGCCTCCTGAACTGTGTCCTAACACACTCACTCTTGTGGGTCATGTTTTAGGGTGGTGAGAAAGGGTTAACTCTTCAATTGACATGACCACCAAAAATGGGGAAGGTGGCGGGGGGGAGTGTCACACTGGCACTCTTGGTGCTGTGCGAACAGTTGGTCGCAGCAGTCCAGGCTGCATTTCTGCTAGACTGGGTCGCACCTGGCTGTGCGCTGCAGGTCCGCTTGGTGCCTCTGTGGCCTGAGGTGGCAGGAGGCAGCATGGGCACCTCATCCTACCTCTGCTTGGCTCACACCTGCAGGACCCAGGCCCCATGTCTGGAGGCATTGGTCAGCCTCTCCCCTCAGCCCTGTTAAGATGTGGCACAAAATGTCCTCTGCCATGGGAGAGGGGCAACCAGGGCTCTCACCCAACTGCCTTATTGGTGCTTGGCTGATCCTGCTGTGAGGCAAACTTGAGATCCAGAATGCCAGAGTTTATTACAGGCCCTGGTAGAAAACTTGAGCTACATACTGATTGCACTGGACCAGGGAAAGGCAAGTGGGACTCAGATACTTCTTCCATAGCAGCATTTTTTCATATTACCACATGAACTGGATCATCCAAAAGAAAGAGATAATGAAGAGGAAAAAAAAATACTAAGCCTTCATTTTCCTTTCAGTAGTGTAGGACAGGGGAGGCCACTTGCAGGTGCTAGTGGCTCAGGCCTGTGGCTCAGGAAACCCTGCACGCTGACCCCAAGGACACATTGGAGCCAGGAGCAAATCATTTCCGTGCTAGGCATGTTTTCAATACCAGGTGGTTGTTTTGCTGAGGTGCCCCCATCCTGCCTTGGACTGTGAGCCTCACAGAAGGTTGATGTTTTTGTGTTTCCCCCAGGGGACAGGAAGCTCTTTGTGGGCATGTTAAATAAGCAACAGTCTGAGGAGGACGTGCTCCGGCTCTTTGAACCCTTTGGGGTCATTGATGAATGTACGGTGCTCCGTGGACCCGATGGTAACAGCAAAGGTGTGAACCCCTCTGTGTGTTGTGCCCCTTTCTCTTTGCTCTTCAGGTCCTGATCACCTGCCTCGCTGCCTCTGCCTCCCACCTTGCCCTGGAACACTCATCTCCAGCCCATGCTTTGGAGGTGGACACTGCAACTCAACCAGACCTGGGGAGCAGGGCAGGGAGAGTTGTTTGCTACAATGACAGAATGGGGAAGATGGGATAAGACCTGGGCGATAGGAGGGGAAGCAGAGGAGTATCTGAGTTAGCAGGATCACTAGTGAGCCTGCTGGCTCAGCAGTTTGAAATGTTTTCACCCAGAATTAGGAGTGCATGAAGAATTTGGGGAAAGTGAGTAATGTTGAGGAAAATGTAGAGATGGTGACATCATCTACAAGATTTATCACTGAGGTAATGCTTTGAGTCTCTTCCATTTTTTTTTTCAAGGCTAAGGTAGTTGGGATGAGTCAACTTTTTTGTCCCCCACTTTCGCAGGGTAGCCTTTCTTTGTCCTGCCTGAGATCCAGATACTATGTTCTGCCTGTCTCTGCAGGCAGCAGCTTCACAGCAACCCTGTCACTGCAGTTTTCTGTGCTCTTTCTGTCCCTTTCCAGGCTGTGCTTTTGTAAAGTTCTCATCCCACACAGAGGCTCAGGCAGCAATCCACGCACTCCATGGCAGCCAGACAATGCCCGTGAGTATGAGGCAGGGTACCTACCCTCTTCCCAATCCTTTTTCTTATAACCCCGTGAAAGGGAATACCCAGCACAATTCAAAAAACACAGATCCAGCTGCAGTTTCCAGCTTGTTTGGTCGTTGGGGAGGTTGGGAGGATGGGTGTCATAGCCATGCTCTCGTCTTTGGGAACCATCCTGTCTCCTGGGCTGGGGAGCATGTGTCTGTGTCTGCCCAGACTGGTAGCAACTGCACATAATGCTAAAAAGGCTTAGAAAAAAAGAGAGTTATCCAAGAACTGGCCCATGTGGCTCTCATGCTACCTGGAATAGATCAAATGAGCAGGATGCAAGCTGACAACCCAACAATGTGAACAGTGAGGGCTCCAGTGCCTGCACACTCCCCAGCCTTGTTAGGGGGTACCGGAGTTCTCTGGGCAGGCTGGGTGTGAGTGGGAATTCTTTGTGCACTGTGTGGGGCTGGGTAACTGGAACTGTGCCCTTTCATGCAAGCATAGCTGCAGTTGTGATGTGTCTTTAACCTGGATTGCAGCAGTTTCTGGGCAGAAGTGAGTTGCTGCAGCAAGGATGTTTGCAGCTGCCAGGACCTGTTCTGTCCAGCCAAGCCCACAGTGGTGGAAAGATAGTGCCTGTGCCTGACCATTGCCTTGGTATTCCTGGCTGCCCCCATCCTGACACTTGGTGAATGCAGACAGGCATGTATGCACCTGCTTGTGCAGCTGTGCCAGACCTCTGTGTGCAGGTGAGAAGGGATGGATGGAGGGAACAGCCCAGATTCCAGGCAGCTCCTGAGCACTTTCACGCCAACAGACTTCTGCTCCTCTTCCTGCTCTTCTCTCCTGTCTGTTCTGCCCCATCCCACCTTGCCTGACTGAGACTCTCTGGCTGTCCCATGGCCTCTTCTCCCCCACCTCCTCTCTGTCTCCTCTCTCTGTGCCTAGGGCGCCTCCTCCAGTCTAGTGGTGAAGTTTGCTGACACAGATAAAGAGAGGACCCTCCGTCGTATGCAGCAAATGGTGGGGCAGCTGGGGATATTCACTCCATCTCTCACGTTGCCGTTCAGCCCATACAGCGCCTATGCGCAGGCTGTGAGTATCACGCGTGTGTGTGGGGAAAGGTTGCCCTCTTGGCTATGGGGCAACGCTATCTGGGCTGGGAGATCACAGAGAGCATCAATGTAGCAAATGTGTGAAAGCTTCCCAGCACCTGAAAGTCACTCCTGGCTTCAGTTTCGCAATTGGCAGCTCAGTCCCTGTGCAGTCCTCTCCTGGAGAGATTGACAGGAGAAAGCTGAGACCTTCCCTAAGTGAGGTTGGATTTCTCTGATGTGATACAGACTGGCGGAGGTGTCTGGGAACAGGTCAGATGTGACCAATATTTTTCTGTCTTGTTTTGTGGACAGCACAGAGCCATGATTCCTCAGTGATGTCTGCCAGATCTGGCAATCTGCCAGCTCGTGAGCTCTTTTGTGTCCATGGCATAAATGCGTGTCTCTGTTATTGCACCACCATGAGAACCCTGGACCCAGCTTCACATGCTTCTTTCCCTGCTGCAATATTCAGGAAGGGCCTAGTCCCCAGTGCTGTCCTTGACTCCTGAGTTTTTTTTTTCTTTCAGCTCATGTGACTGTGTGGTTTTTCAGATGCTGGAGAGGAAGCTAGAGAGGGCAGAGGGTTGCAGATGTTTTAGTTTTCTGGCTCCTTGTCTGCTAAAGCTCTCTGTGCCTTCAATCTTAGCAAGGAAACCTCATTGTCTTGAGGTGATAATGGTGATTCCCATTTATGTTTGAGGCAGGTCCAAAATTCAAGAAGGTCCTGCTCAGTTCTGCCGGAGAAAGCACCCTTTTCTGAGTCTTCTCAGTGACCGTCATCACTTTTTTTTTTTTTTTTTTTTTGCTGCCAAGTATTAAGCCCATGGAAAATGGCGATTTCTCAAGGACATAAGGGATACCTGTGTCCAAGAAAGGAATTTAAAGAAGGTCCTTTCCTGGAGTATGAAACAAACTGGTGGGAAATTTTGGGAACCAAGGGTAGCATTTGTCCAGTAGAATACTTGATTTTCCTGTTGAAACAAGGCTGAGAATGGTTATACCATTTGAAACAGCAAGGCTGCCAGCAGAAGCATCATTTAAAGGGACGAGCCCTTTCTGAACAGATGATAGTATCTCTTTTGCCAGGGTTAGTTACTTCCCTCCAGCCCTACCATCTATGCGTCAGCTACACTTGAGGTCTTTGGCTCACTGGCTCATCCAAGACATGATGGTGTATCCTCTGCTGCCATGAAAATGACACTGATGTGATGAGGAAGGAGGCAGGAATGGGCTGTGCAGTGAGGTCATGATGGCCAAAAGTGCTTTATTAGCTCATGGCCCGGAGTGTCTCAGGAAGGAGAGCAGCAAGACCTTCAAGGCCTTCTGGACTCAGTCTTAAGTGCCTACCTCACACCTCCAATCTTCAGAAACTCATGCTGAAGAAAAAAAGAAAAACCAGAATCAGGCCTTAGCTGTGCTGCTTGCTTCTTTCTGCATCTTCTTTCTCCTTAGTTGTGTCAGTAGATTTGTCACCTCCTCTTTGATTTTAGCCTGCTCTTTTTTCCCTTCCTGCTCCAGAACCAGTTTGGCTTTTCTCTTGCCTTAGGGCTTAGCAGGTCTCCTGCCCGTTCAGTTTTCCTCCTTTCTCATTTACTTTCCACCGTTTTTGCTTCTCTCTCCTTCTTCCTGCTGAGCCACCAACCTCACACATGTATTGTTTCTTGTCTTATTTCCTCCCAGTCTTGCTTCCTGTCCCTGGAAGAGGGATCCTGGCTAGTTTTTGTATGCATGAAGTGTCACCATCAGAGGGAGACAGTACCAGCCCTTTGAAAGGCCACTTAGGATCCATGGAAGTGGGGGCAGATGAGAGGCTTTTCACTCTCAGCTCTCCTTACAGCTCCTCCAAATATCCTGTCACAGGCTGTCCTGGGAGCTGAGATCCCGGAGGAGCCAGGACTCAGGGCATCTCTGACCTAGCTCATGTTTCCATAATGTAGGTCTTGGAGTAGGAGATGCTTTCTCCAAGGATGCTCACAGGCCCACGAGATGCAGCTAACAGTTATGTCACTGGATTGGATTGAGAGTGCGCCGTTAGGGCGAACTGGTACATCACAAGCACTGGTTCTTATATTTACGTTTTAATGTGCCATCACTTTTCTCTTGCTGGTCCCATGGAATTTGTTGTCTCTCCAGTGCAGCCCCAGAGATGTCACAAGAATGATGGTCCCCTGCCTGGGACAGAGAAGAAGAAAAAGTTTTGGACCTGATTTTTGTTTTATGTTTTTAATTTATACTAAAAGCATTTTCTTTAAAAAATCTCAAAGTAAATGTAAAATAATGGGAAGCTGTATGAAGTCTAAGGTTATCCTGAGCTATTCAGATAAAATGCAGTAAGTGAAAAATGTTCAAACAGTGCTTGTTATCTGATAGTTTGAAAGAAAATATCTTGCCCTTAGCTTAGAAACATGACTAAGTTAAGAATCTAAAGCCATTTTATTTAAGTGCTAAACAGATTTTTGATCCCAGGTGCCTCTTCTGCAAGTGAAAAGAGACTATTTCCTTCATTTTTAGCTTACTCAGTAAGTTGAATTCAGTGATCTGTTCAGATGAAATCATGCAACTGAATGGGAATTGAAAAAAATATTAATACAAAAAAAGGTCTGGAATATTAAAGAAAAAGCTGGTGCAATTCACCAGCTATATATCAGGCTTCAGTAGTGCTTTTTTCCCCCCATAAATTAGTTCAAAACACAAAGCATATTTTGTGCACCCCCACGCGTGTGGTGCAGTGTACCTAGTGCACTTCTCTGTATTCCTGGTGCTGCCAGGGGATTCAGCAAGATGTGCATATTTTGGAGTAACCAGCTCCTCTAGCTGAGGCCTGGGCCCCGTTGGCTTGCTGTCTCCGTGTGTTGCGGACAAGGCAGAGTACATGGTGCAACACAGTTGTTGTGCAACGGTGACAGTGAGACACTGTGTCAGTGAGACACTGACAACCTAAAGAGGACCTGTGTTTCGCTTGGTTTTGCTGCTTCCCCACCTTGTCTCCACCCGTGAAGTCGTGGTTTCCAGGCAGCTGTGCCAATGTCTCTCCTGCTTGATGGTGAGAACAAGGCTTATAAAGGAGCTAGATAATTTTGCTAAACCTGTGTTACTGCTGCATTTTGAGAGCACTCTAATTTAATCTTATGCTCCAGAGAATAAGCCAAAGGGATCAAGGAGATTTTTTTTTCCTTCTTTCTTCTAATTCTCCTTTGGGGGAAGCAAAAGGAGCCGCCATCCTCTGGCCTCTGGCAGCCTGAGGCAAGACAGGGCTTGGAGGATCCCAGAGCAACTCCCGGGGCAGTGTCTGAAACTGGCACTGAGCATGGACAGACCCAGATGTGCAGCAGGGCCCTGAGCAAGCAGAGAAGCAGCCTGGTCCCTTTGCAAAGGCTGGGCAAAAGGCCTGTTCAGTGCCATGCTAGATGGCAACCAGGAAACAGGGCAGGGCTTTCTGATGGGGGCTGTGGCTGGATGGAATCCTTCTTTAACATCCCCTTTGCATGGCTGATAAAGCCGTTGCTGTTGGGTGGACAGCATGCCCCTTTCCTGGCCCCATCTCCACTCCAGCGGCCATCTGAACAGGAAGGGCTTCCAGGGCTATTCTGATGCTCCTGTGGACAGCCCAGCTTGTAGCCAAGAGGCAGCTGGAAACCCCTAAGGCTGCTGGCTTGTGGCATGAGCAGAGGGTCCGGGGTGGGTGAAAGGCACCCAGCTGTAACTCTGGTTTTTGCAAGAGGACCCAAACTAAGCTGCTGCAGCAGCAGCTATGCCCCACTACCTGGGTCAAACTGGTCCCCGGCCCTGGCAGGCTGGTCCATCACAGCAGCCAGGTGGTCCCAGCCGAGTATGTGGCACCAGGGAGTTCTAGGCCTGTTACAGGAGCCAGCCCTGGCTGCAGGCTCCGAGATGCTGGACCTTGACCATCTGTGGCCCTGGCCACATGTGATCCTGACCACATGTGACCCTGCCTTGCAGCTGATGCAGCAGCAGACAACAGTTCTCTCCACCTCCCATGGCAGCTACCTGAGCCCTGGCGTCGCCTTTTCCCCTTGCCACATCCAGCAGATCGGTGCCGTCAGTCTCAACGGGCTGCCAGCCACTCCGCTTGCTCCAACATCAGGTGAGAGCCTAGTATGGGCCAGGACACAGTGAATCCTTCATGACCTATGAACTGTTTGCTGCAATATTCATCACAGTACTTGTGCAGAGAAAACTGCTCCCCATGCCCCATCAGGCTCTTGCCAGCCAGCCAGATGGAGGGAGCAGGAGCTTCATACCATTTTGACTCACGCAGGATCCCCTTTTCTTCTTGTTCTGCAGGGCTACAGTCACCTCCTCTCCTGGGAACAGCAGCCATGCCAGGGCTGGTAGCACCCATTTCAAACGGATTCACTGGAGTGGTGCCATTCCCAAACGGCCATCCAACTTTGGACACAGTTTACACTAATGGCCTTGTGCCATACTCAGGTATGGGCAGTTGGAAGGGGAGGGAGGAAAAAAAAATTCAGGAACTACAGTTACCTCTCTTTTTTTCTGGATCCTCGCACCAAAGATGACTTCTAGCCATTTATCAGCGAGGCATGGAGACTCACTGGAACATGTGTGTGTGCAATTCCTTTTGCTGTGCCTCTGACTCCATTCTTCTTTGCAGCCCAGAGCCCTTCAGTAGCAGAGACTTTGCACCCAGCCTTTACCGGAGTGCAGCAGTATGCAGGTAACAGCTTCCCTCCTTTCTCTCAGTTCCTGGTGTGGCTGAGGGTTCCAAGGTAAACAGTTTGTACTATCTCCTTGAAATATAGCTGTGTATCCAACTACCACCATCACTCCACTGGCGCAGAGCATTCCTCAGCCGCCTCCCATCCTGCAGCAGCAGCGAGAAGGTGAGGATCAGCATGGGAATGGAGCAGTACAGGGAGAAAGAGGGCTGGTTCACATCATCTGTACCACAGAGTCAATGGAGAGGAGGCAACACTAATCCTTGTCCACTGTAATCCTTTGTAATGGAGCTGGGTTATGGAACCAACCTTGCAGTAAGCAGACTATAAAGAGCAAGAAAATGCTTGTCATACAAATCTCCAGAGCTCGCCGCCGGTCAGATGCTGCCCGGAGCAAAGCTGACAGTCAGTATAGCACCAGCCTTTGACAGCCAAGAGTGTAGTCAAGCTGAGGAGAAGAGCACCTTTTCCTCTCTTTGCTGATGCCAGAGCCACACTGGTAACAGTCAATCTCGAGTCTCCAAGGCATCCTCCTCCTCTCTTGAGCTTTCCCAGCTTCAGGGTTTGTTTTTCAGCTTATTCCAAAACTCATCTAGAAAGAATTTGGAACTAAAGCAGTTGATCTGCTCCTAGGTCTCACAGCAGGTGTCAGGAAAGGGGAAGACCCCTCTTCTTATCAGCTTCACAGGGACAAGATGAGCCCATAAGTAGGATGTACAGTGATTCAGGAGATTAACAGTTTGGGCTGTGGCTTATGGGACAAATACAACCACTGCATGGCTGTGGGTAGGGAAGGCTACCTGTGCAACTTCCATGTAGAATTGCCTGCTGCTTTGGGCAGTGATGAGCAAGGGTGGGAGAATCTCCTCAGCTGACTTCTTTCCAACGCAACAGAACCCAGCCATTGCTAGAGAGTTGTCACGCCCAGCACCCCAGGTGGCAACCAGGAAAGCTGTGATAGCCAAATCTGCTTTCTAGAACCTTTATTTCTGCATATTTCTTCCCACATGCTCTTGGGCAGCCCCTAGTATCCTTTTCCTTGGACTAGTCATTAAAAGATGTCAGCAAGGGAAGACTGAGACAGACTGAGGCAGTGCTCGGGTTCTCCTGTGCTCTGAGCTGAGTACACTTCTCTTTCTCTTTTCTCTGGGGGCTACCTGTGCTCGTTCCCTGCCCATTGCCCCATACTTGCAGGTCCTGAAGGCTGCAATCTCTTCATCTACCATCTCCCTCAGGAGTTTGGAGACAATGAGCTGATGCAGATGTTCCTGCCCTTTGGCAATATCATCTCTTCCAAGGTGTTCATGGACCGTGCCACCAACCAGAGCAAATGTTTTGGTGAGTGCTTATATTGCCAGATATGAGAGCATGGCAGATAACCAGGACAGTCGTGCATACGCCATGAAGCCAAGAGCTATTGGCCATGCCCATATCCTGTTCTTCAGGTTTTGTAAGCTTTGACAACCCATCCAGTGCACAGACTGCTATCCAGGCCATGAACGGCTTCCAGATTGGCATGAAACGTTTGAAGGTCCAGTTAAAACGACCTAAAGATGCCAACCACCCCTAGTGACAGCAGCAAGCAAGCAGGAGTCACTTCTGCAGCACAGGTAAAGCCAGCAACCTTACAGCACTGTTTGTGTTGCTGCTGAGGGTCCGGTAGCTTCAAGGGTAGCTGCTCCCTGAAGGGATGGGGAGCTGAACACAGGAACTCGGATGGCAGAGCAGAGGCCTTGCCAGCAAGAGCCCACCCTCACAATAACTAAGAAATGTGGCCAGGGCAGGCCTGGAGATGGTGACCAGATTTAACCGACAGTCCAGATCACTAGGCAATTTTCTGGCAATGAGGGAAGTCCAAGGTCAAGCCAGGAAGTCAATCTGCAGGTCAGGATCAGGTCCAGTAAGGGTAACCAGGATCAAACATACTCCAGTGATTGCCAGGAAAATCCATAGTGATGAGACAGGTCAAGCCAGGAAGTCAAGCCCCTGGGTCTAGGTCCAGTTCAGTAACGTCTGCAGCTAGGCACTGGCAGAGCTGTGGCTCTGTTGGAAATCAGTGTTCCTACAACATAGCTCAGGCAGGAACTAAAGGTTTCAATAGCCAGAAAGGCTCAAATAATCTGCCTGTGATGTAAGGGACCCAGCCCCTCCGTAGATTTGTTCTTTCTAACAAGATTAAAACCGCAATAGTTTTGTTTTTAGCTGGGGGCGGGTGTCCTGGAATTACATGGACAACGCATTTAAGATAAGAGGGACAATCACCTGATTCACATAGATCGTAGGAAGCAGATTAAAAGAAAGTTAGTCCTTGAGGCAGTCACGAAGGCGTCCTCCTGTTTTTTTTTTGGGGCAGCCTGGTACAGCAATTCAACATAGAGACCAAGCGACCCCACTTCAGACAGGGCCAATCTATTACAAGTAGGCCAAAGAAGGGTCATGACTGGAAATGGTTCAGTGTCCTTCCTGGCAGCTGGCTCCTCTTTGATAAACTTCCCTGTGCAAGCTTTTGTCACAGTAGGTCTATGGAAGGGTTTGGAGCAAAGAGATGAGCAAAGTCTGTATTGGGGGCTACAGAACCAATCACCACGCCTATGCATTCGTGCTCAGAATGCTTGCTACAACATCAGCTGAGCCTTGGATGGCCTCCTCTGGAGGCTCATGAGTATAGGTGAGGCTATGAAGGGCCACAGAAGCGCTGCCTGATGTAGGAGCTGTCTGTTAAAATGTCAGCTCCTGCCAGTCAAAGTTGGAACAAGGCAAGGGCTTCATCCCTTCTAAATGGGGCCATATCCCTCCACCTTTAAGAAGCACTAGCTCAAAGCCTGAGGTTTGCACATGTGTCGTCCTAACCTGCTAACTCCCTCACCCTTTTCTGTTCAGGTGAAGGGAAAGTCCAGAGGAAGAATTTATGCTTCAGGTTGATTTACAGAGGCCAATAAATTTCTGAACTCTTTTGACATCACTCCTTTCCTTCCTCTGCTCCTCTCCTACCTGCCTCATCTGCCTTCAGCTTGCCTCCTCAAAAACATGTAATTGAAGCAAAGGCTCAGTATCTGCCCAGCAGGAAGATTTTTTTTGCCACAATGGACTCACACATTTGCTGTTGATGTGGTGCATATCAAAGGGACCAGAAAACCAACAGACCTGCGGACCTGAAGCTCTTCCTCTCAGGGTATGCCTGGAGTACCCAGGCCAAGAAAACCCAGAGGGGTGTCTCTAGGTTACCACAGTGATGTATGGGAGCTTAGCCATCCCCACCCCATCTCCTGTCCCTTTCATAGATAAATATAAATATACAGTCTCTATTTTTTATTAAAAAGTGACTCACAGGACCAAACTTTCCCATTCAGAAACTGACTCCTTGCAAGAGGGGTTGGAAGCAAAGGGTTTGCCTCTGCAACAGTGTCTTCTCAGGAGGCACTGCAAATTGGCCTGAACTTTTGAGAGGATGGACAAAGAGCAAGGGAGAGCACATCTCTCTGCTCAATTTTATCAAGAAGCAAGGAGAAACAAACAAACAAAAAAAACTACATACCTCCAAGATTGAGGCACAGCCAGCTGCTCAGCTGAAGAGTCACTCACCTACCAACCTTAGCACCAGCTTGGTTAAGGATCTCAACAGCTCCCAGTCTTAATCTTCCAACAGCTTCTGCAGACCAAGCTCCTGGAATTTGATGCCAAAGCCTATCTTGAACACCCCTGGATTAGGCTGAAAGCAGAGGAAATCCCTTTACCTACAGGAACTGTACTACATCTGCACGCATGACCCATGTTTGGTAGCTCTCCATGGTAATGGGAAATTTTCTTGATCAAGGCAAGAGACGATGAGAGAATTCCAGCAAACCAAAATCACCAAAATAGAGTGACAGAAGCCTGCAAGGGGCTACACACTGCCTCCACACACTGGAAATAATCTAAAGATGGTTAGCAAGCATTTGCAACCTCCAAGCTGAACAGAACATTTTCTTCTGCAAGATTTAACAAGGGGACTTACCTGTTATACCCTTTGCAGAGTTTTTCCAAGCAAACACAAGGAGGATAGTATGACAAGAGAGAGCTATCTTTCAATTTTTTTTCTTCCACCTCCCCCTTCAAAGGATAGATTATACAGTATGCAGCATAGATATAGATATCGTACACTTAAGCACAGAACATAGTTCAGAGCTTGATTTAACAAAAATCCCTAGAATGGGGGAGGGGCTGTTACTGAAATGGTGCATCCATTTAACAACTTGAACCATCCCCTGAGTTTCTACCAAAACACAGAAAAAAAAATCTTCAGAGTATTTCAGAGTTTGATAAAGTACCAAGAACATTCCTCTGTGTGTGTGTGTGTGTGTGTGTGTCTGTGTGTCTGTGTGTGCACGCACACATGCATGTATGTCTAAGCATGAACAGAGGGCTGGTGGAGAAAGGTCAATGAAACTGATACTAAGAAGAGATCTGGGAGCTTCAGAGGACCCCAGCCACTTCTCATCCTCCTCCAGTTTCCCCTTGTTCAGGTGTCTCTGGACAAATCCTCCAAGTACATTCACTTCTCCTCAACCACCCCTCTGTATCTGATGTGGAGTTTGAAAGATGGATGGAGCAGTGGAAGTCTGTGTGTTTCAACAGTCCATGTTTACTGACTGTAAATACCATTTTTATACTTAACATCTATTATGTATGTGATTTGTATAATGTATTTTATTTCTGCTACAAGTAATTTCATGAAGTTTAAACTTCATCTAATTTTGAACAAAAAAGAAAATGACCAACAAATGCAAAATGGAAAAAAAAAAAAAAACACTTTGGAAATTCTAGGTCAAGCTGGTTTAGAATAAGAATTTACAATCAGTTTCTTCCCTCACAGTTACTGATGTGACTGAACAATGTCACAAATGAGATACAAGCTTTATCAATGTCAAATTCCTCACTCTGGTCTAAAAAAAAAAAAATCTTAAATTTATTTAATAAAAGTTTTACTTGCCAAGTAACTTGGGGTCTTATTTCATGTGTTAGTTGCATCTGCTTTTAGATAGTGCCTACACTTGAAGATAATCAAAAACCTGGGGTAAGGAGAGCCTGTTTCCATTCAGCAAGACACTTGTGCTATCAGGCAAGCATTTCACAGAAGGATGGATGATGGAGCCCAAGTCCTGTCAGATACACAGAATAAGGCAATGTTGTATCACACAGTGTTTCAGTTCACTGAAAGGCTATCTTGGGATTTTTTTTTTTATTCCATTCTTAAGATCTGACCCGCAAAACACAAGTTTGTTATATCAACCCAATTTCAATGGATAGGTTCACCTGCCCAACTCTAGCAGAGCAAAATATAAACCAGGTACTGTTCTTGTGCGCAGATTCCAGGCTTAAGAATATCTGTGTACTTAGTCAATACTGATTGCTCAGCCAAAATAGCACAAACTCCTTTTTTTTTTTTTTTCCACTGAAAGTGAGGAGCACACTACGATTACCAGTGCTATTTGCCATGGCCACTATCACAGCACTATTTTTGCTGGTACTTTTGTGAGAAGGCGCTTTGAAAGCCTTATTTAGCAGTGCTAAAAAAAAAGCAGAACATGAGAAGAGAATGAAAGCTACGAAATCTCGGATTAGCTCAATTTTTGATGCATCTTCCTTCACACAGTTCTGTGGTGCCTGGTCCATAGTCTTTTGTGCAAACATGAGTAACAAGCAGGTGTATGAGTCTGTTTAGGAGGGATGGGTTCAAACTGCACAGGGGATATGAATTGCAGCAAGTTCCTATCATTTCCATGTAATGCCACAGAAAATTTTGTCAGGTCAAAATGCAAGGCCCATGATACATAGAGAAGCAGCAATATACCCAGGTGGTGCCTGTTCCTATGTTGTGAATAAAAAAATGACTGCAACTAAAAGCAGCACACACTGTTCCCACTTCAGACTACAGAAGTAACCAGAATGAAAACTCAAGCTGTACTGACATCTCTTGCAGACACAGAGTTTTTATGTTTTGTTCAGAACAGGATTGCACTGAATCTAGCCCTTAGCAGTCAACAGAGCAGAGATGGGGGGGCCAACAGTGTCTCTTCTCCAGATAACAGCTTTGCACAAATCCAAACATTGCCTCTCCTTGAGAAGGGATGCACTCATACTACCAACTCAACCCGCTTTCTCTTTCCTTGGAAATGATCAGCTAAAACTGAGGAAGCATTGAGATGAGCAGCTCTCTGCACACTCCATTCTAGTCCTGCTTACCCTTGCACAAGCCTGATATAATACCCACCCATCCCCAAAAATTTTAGACCTGTTGACCAGTTTCTACGGCATGTTCAGCTCTCAGAGACTCTTGAAACGAGTTGAAGATTCACTGGGGGCAAGAGTGGGGAAGAAGAGGAGAGGGTGCCAAGGGAACGACACACACAAAGCAAAACAAAACAAACACACACACAAAACAAACAAAACCTACTCCCTCCCCCCAGAAAAAAAAAATCAAAGCAAAAAAAAAAACCCAATTGACCAACCGAAGAAAACATAAAGAGAAAGACTCCATAGAGGAGCAACCCCAAACCAGGAGGATTCAAACAGCAGCTGCATTTTCTTAGCCAGAAGAAGTAATGAAGCACAACACATACCCACAGCACAAGTATGCTACGGAAGAGTTCTCGAAGACTTCCCTCCACGCCCCTTCTCCTGTTCATTGCAGGAATGGACAATCAGTCTTGGTATTTGCACCAAGAAAGCAAGAGTTGATTTAACAGGTCCCCTGCAGTCCGTAAAGATCTGCCAACAGGCCCACACTCATGGAAGCTAATTCAGCAACCTTTCTAGACAGAAAAAGCATCAGCACATGACACCAACACATGAAAAACATGGTTTAATAAAAATAGAGATTAAAACGCTATCAACAGTAGATGGGGAGGCTTTTGGAGTCCACAAAATAAAGAGGTGAGAAATATGTCCAGGGAATGCACAGACATTCACAGATCAAGAATAGAAATATATATATTTTAGTAATGAATATTTTGTAACCTGCTATCCAGGGTCTCTGCAGCTTCCAGTCTAACAGAGAAGCTGTTTCAGCTCCTCCTGTTCACTCAGCAGGCCTAAATGAGAATTGCATTTTGCAAATGAGAAATGAAACCAACTGAGCCCCAGCTGCTCCAAACTGTGCTCAAATCAGCAAAATTTCCAAAATGTTTAGAAAAGTTGTAGAGCCTGGTGTAAATGCCCCAGTTTCCTTCCAATCCATCTGTGGTTCCATCTCAGAGGCACATCACTACATAAACAAAGCTCTGCTTGGACCAAATTGACACAGCTCTACATGCTCCCTCATAACATGCAGCCTGGTTCTCTTCAGTCTCCCCAGATCCTCTGTTGTCTGTGGGCCACAGTAACCATAGCTAGGAAGAGGTGACAAGGCCCTTGTTCTAACTTTTGGATAAATCCACATAGTTACTCCTGGAAGAGTAATTTAGCACTGAAAGACACACATTAAACAACCAGAGAAGACCAGAGGCTAGGGGAGATGGCTGTATGATTAAGATACCTATTTTTTTTTTGGGGGGGGGGACTCTGTGTTGAATATTTGTGCATATGGCATGATATATACAAGTAGGTGTCTTTATGCATGTGGTGAATGTCTCTGGCTACATATGCTGCATGGAGAGGGAGTGTAAGTTACAGTGCAGGTACAGGGAATGCAACACACGCTGTGTGAAGAATGTATGTCTGTGCGTGTGTGCACATGCACAAGCATATATATGTGTGGATAGATACCTTAATTTAGGCAAGTGGCTCTCTGAGATGGAGAGCTCCCTAGATACAGGAGTCCAACAATTAATGCTTGGCAGCCTTCCATTTGCAGGGCAATGGGAATGGACAACTAGAGACATGCAGCCAATCAACATGAAGTCAAATGAGGCTGCAGCTCTAACTTGAGCCTGTCAGCAGTGCTAGACCTTGCTTTACAGATAATTAGAGAGACAGAACTTATCCCTTTATAGGAATCCTGACTTGAACTTTTTAGCTTCTTCACACCCCAACTGCTGAGCTCACACCTCCCCAAAACACATTCCACAAAAGCTGGGAGCTAATTTAGGACTGTGATACAAGCAGCTGGGATGCAGGAGGACCCAAGGCAGAAAGAGCAGAGAATGTGCCTCAGTTGCCTGTGTACACAGGGAGCAATGTTGCATACATGCTCTCTGTCCCTCTTCCCTGTGACTTTTCTCCACACCTTTAGTTTTAATTCCCTTTCTTTCATCCTGCCACTGCTCATCTTTTTCCACAATGAGAAACTTCAAAAATTAATCCTGGGGCTGGGGAAGCTGAAAAGTGAGAGTGTATACATGTATGTGTGGGCATGCACGTGTCAAGAGGGATAAGAGCAAGCCCAGGGAAACTCTTATGAAGATGGCTAAGGCTACTTTTTCACTGCCTACTGCCTTACTCCTGTTGACATGGAAGACCGAAAGTGATGCACCGTAGGAGAGGCAGGACTGTAGTTGGCAGAGAGGGAGGAGACCAGGTCTCCTTCAGGGACTGCTGTAGTTATAGTAACTCCGTAAAACCTGGTCCCGGTGGCTGGGGAACCAGTCCCGGAAGTGGCACACGTACTCCAGCCACCAGGGATAGAAAGCCTCCTGCACCCGCGTGGCACCCCCTCGGATGATGGCAAGTGCAGCTTCAGCAGCAGGGGAGGCAGCTAGGTACACTTTGCCCCTGGAAGGAAACCAACAGAGGATGACTCAAGTCAGCCAATACTTGTTGTGGTCTTAACTATGCAGGCTGGGTTCTGTATGCTCATATTTCACACAGAGCTGGAAGACATGCACTACCCTCATGATCTACCCAAGCAAATGCACTTTCCATGTTCATTTGCTTGCACACTTAGATGACCACACTATCTTAAACAGAGTTGTGGTGCATTTCTTTGCACACTCTCAAGAAGAGATAAGCTCCTGCAGACACACTCCTTCCCAGAAACCTGCATCCTCCTCCAAATACATACCTGGTCTTCTCTAATGCCATGTCAGTGTCAACCAAGCCCAGGATGCAGAGTGTGATGAAGATGTTTTTCTTCTGCATGACAAGTTCATGGCGCAGAGAGCCGAAGAATCCATCCAGTGCAAACTTAGTGGCAGAATAAGAAGTGGTGAAAGGAGTAGGAATTTTGCCTGGAAAGGAAAGGAGAGAAGGGGAAACACTAGGAAGTAGCTATAAGGAAATGGTGTCATGAAGGAAGAATCTAGGCAAAATGGAGGCTTTGCCATGCTACATCATTTCCCTCTATTTCCATTCACTCTCAGGCATTTCTGAAAATGACACCACCTTATGTGAGCATATGCCAGGAAAACAGCCACAAATGTGGGTAAGGGGAAGAAACATCCTTTAGTTTATACAGTATTCAGGTCACTTGCTGAGCTGAAAACAAAATAAAACAACAACAACAACAACAACAACAACAAAAACCCACAACCCTCAAAAAAAACAGTGTGATGACATACCCATTACCTTCCCCACCTCTGTCAGGTGCCACCACATGCAATAGGCCATGTGGGGATGCACCAGTCCAATGGCAGTTCCATCCCCAAAACACATTAGGTCACGAGGTAGAAAAGGATTATAGTACAAGCTGGTATGCTGGTATAGTACGCCTGGATAGACGAGGGGAGAGCGGTGGATGTCGTCTATCTCGACTTCACCAAGGCTTTTGACACCGTCCCTCACAACATCCTCCTGGGCAAGCTCCGGAAGTGTGGGATAGATGAGTGCACAGTGAGCGGCCACTGCCAGACCCGCTCGCTCTAAGTTACCCAGTGTGCAGGGTGTCACCACCACAGCACAGCTTCTATTTTTGAGCAACTTTGTCCACATGCTACGGATGGTATTGGTGGTTTGTGAGAGATGGGCAGACCCGTATCAGCCGACAGCTATCCGGCTGCCAAGTTGCTCCCAAAATTGTATAATGTCATTGAGTGTTAAAAGTTGTGCCATGCAGAATCAGAGAATGACCAGGGGGCAAGCCCAGCTGGTTGGGTAGTGATTCCCTGGATTATCTAAATATTTCTGAAATCCTTGGTGTTCAAAGGAGACCTTTGAGTTGTCTGAAGTGTGCCTAGGTGTGTGTATTTCCTGCATATAGCATATAGCATGGCTGTAGCCAAGTTCAGAACAAGTATTGTGTCCAGTTCTGGTCTCCACAGTACAAGAGGGATGTGGAGCTTCTGGAGAGAGTCCAGCGCAGGGCTACCAGGATGCTCAGGGGCCTGGAACATCTGCCCTATGAGGAGAGGCTGAGGGGGCTGGGCCTGTTCAGCCTGGAGAAGAGAAGGCTGAGAGGGGATCTAATCAGTGTATATAAATACCTCAAGGGAGGGAGCGCAGAGGACGGTGATGGTCTCTTTTCAGTGGTGGCCACTGATAGGACTAGAGAAAGTGGTCGGAAACTGAAGCACCAAAAATTCCATAGGAACTTAAGGAAAAATTTCTTAACAGTGAGGGTGACAGAGCACTGGAACAGGCTGCCCAGAGAGGTTGTGGAGTCTCCTCTGGAGATCTTCAAAACCCGCTTGGACGCAGTCCTGTGCCACGTGCTCTAGGTGACCCTGTGTATGCAGGGGGGTTGGCCTAGATGATCTCTAGAGGTCCCTTCCAACCCTAAGCATTCTATGATTCTATGATTCTAAGCTTTCATGCAGTGCTCCCCTGAGTGAACCCTGAAGCCCTTCTCCTGCTTTTCCATCTCACACAGCAGACAGTTATGTGCAGCTATTCCAGCTGGCCAAAGTCTGCCTTTAGAGAGTGGAAGAAAGGTCTCAAAGCTGTGGGAAGAGCCTGGGTGTGAGGGTTGGGAGTCAAGCAAGGAGATCTGGCCACTTCACAAGCAAAGAGCAAATTTCCAAGGGAATGCAAAATGATGCAACTTAGAAAAGATCTTCTAGAAAGCCAGACCATATCCTGTTCACTGCTATAAAAAGTACACTTGAAAATGTGTTCAAGGACACAAAAACACAGTGTGCTGTAAAGCCATGATTTCCACAATACCACACTTCCACCAGTTATAAACACTAACCTGTAAGGGAAGAAACAACTATCAGAGAGCCTTTATTCTCCTCCAACGTGGGAAGGGCTGCTGTTGCTAGGGCCACATAACTAAAAAAATTCACCTGAAACAACAAAAGAATCATAGAATGAGCAGGAGAGTTTGGAAAGAAGGTCAGCATGAGCCAGAAAGCCTATACAGTAGTTAGAAATGCAAAGGAGCATAGCTTGGACTTGCTTTTTTAAACATTAAGAGGAAAAGATGATATCTCTGGAGATATGGAACATTGCACTGAGAAGAGTCACAGCTAAAGTTATTCCTAAACGTTACCATGCAGATTTCTTGACTCCATATAGGTAGCAAGGAACAATTGTCTCTTGTTTCTCTATATGCTATTTTATACCCTGCAACACCTATTCTGCAATAAGGATAGCAGCACTATCTTGATTTACTCCCCTTCTAAGTTTCTTTTGACTGTGAGGCTCTCTTTTGAGCTTGACTGTTCTGTGACTTACAGGACTTTTTTTACCTGTGATCTCTGGTTCTCTAGCAAACGGACTTTCCAACATGAAGTGGAACTAATAAGGTTCACCTAATCTGATTAGGCAAATAATCAGGAAAATATCTCTGTCTCAGTGCTTTGAAAACATGACACCAAAGTGATCTACAGTAAAATACCATGCCTGTAAACAGAACCTCAGGAGCAAACACCATTTCAAAAAATGGGGTTTTTATTGTGTTCTGCAATGATGTGCATCTGCCATAGATTGGTGGGAGGTGTTTAAGGCCTATTGCCCTTTCTGAACTAAACACATATAGCGCAACCTGCCACATATAGCACAAACTGCCACAAGTAGAATAATCCCACGGGGCAGGATTATTCTACTAATCCCTGAAAGTACCAGGCAATCGGGAGGTAAAATGGGCAGCAAGAAGAAGTTCTTCCCAGACATTCCTCTGCACACATATACACCAACATACCTGAACAAGGCACCTAGTCCAGTAACAAAGCCTATAACCCATTTTACTTGTAACACGAGTGAAATAAAACACTCAGTCTCCACCATTGCTGTAGGCTTCATTTTGCCCTTAAGTCTTCCGAAGCTGCCCCAGAAGAGGCCAGACCTACCCCATACCATGTGGGCTCTCTCTGCTCGGAAGCCTTACCTGCATGAGCCAGCGAGTATGTTCCACATCTCCATCCCACATCTGGAAAGGGGTCATGCCAATGTGGTTCAGCACCAAGTAATCCAGTCCCCCTGTGGACAGGAGAAAAAGCTGTCAAAAAAAGATGCCATCCTCTAAACGGTTACTGGCTGAAACAACCAGTCCTTCCCTCGAAAGGCTGGAAAGTGTTTTACCATCAAGAAGCATGAAGTATGTTTAGCTGAGAGCAGCTCTGCCTACTTCTCAAGAGTAGAAATAGAAGAAAGTCTGCTTCTCCCCGACAGCAGCTCTCCAAAATGATATTTCAAGATAATGCAGACAGGGCACATAGTGCTGATGGTACAATCTATATTAAATCCTATGGGTGTACAGATTTGCAACAGGAAAACAAACAAACAAACAAAAAACCCAAGATTGGTATGGCAATGTGCGTGTGTGGAAATGCCAGAAGAGTAGTTAAAATAATGCATGTTTGATGGCTCCTAGACTGGCAGATCACCAGTACTCCAGCACACAGGCACACAGTTTCTTACAATTCCAAGGTCAGGAATACCAAGAACATAAAGAAGTAATTCAGTCACTGAGATAATGGACAAGAGGATATTGAGTCTAATCAAAAATGTTGCCTAATATACAATATAACTGGAATAACCAGCAATTTTTTTTTCTCTCTTTTCAGCACCTGACACTTTTCTTCTGCTTACCCAGTTTTTGGACAGCAAAATGGACCACCTTTTCAGGCTCTGAAGAGGAAGACATATCTGCAGTGATATAAAAAACTTTCTTTGCTCCAAGCTTCAGGCACTTCTTCATCACCTTTAGAAAAGCAACCAACAACCAAACATAAAAAAAAAAAAACCCACAAAGATTAAACTACATGGAGTGGGGGGAAGAGAAGAGGAATAAAGGCACTATAAGGCCCTGTTTTGCTGAGTATGTTTTTTTGCTGCTGTTGTTGATGTTGTTTGCTGTTTAAGCTAACAAGAGTCAGTTCTGAACAGATACACACTCTTATTTCAAATCTACCTCTATTTGTTTAACCAGATGAGCTAACTTAAGGTAATTATTGGCAAAACACAGACTCAAACTACCTTGGAAAAGGATTAGAGTTCACCATAAAAAAGGCTTTTTTTTTTCCTTCTCCAGGAGAATTCTTCTGGAACTGGGGTTATGATTTATATATATTTTTTTTCTAAAATATATGAGTATGTGAAAGTGCCAGGTAATGTTATGCAGTTAGCTCTTATGCAGTTTAGCTGTTTGCTGAAATATTCTTAGGAAATATCCTTACACTCACTAACCCTAAATCCCTCCTTTTGTACCACTTCCAACTGCCGAACATTCCCTAAAAGTAATCTCTCCCCACAATTTAAGAGGTACCTTCTCTAAATATTGCTCTATTTTTTACACTACAGACAAAGGGAGCCTGATCAATTCAAGCTGGTAAAATTTCTGACTTGCAGAAAGCCTGAAGTCTTTAAGAAAAGACTGTGAATAGATTTGTTTGGACTCTGGAAAGTGACATAATATCTCACAGAAATTGTAGCTCAGGCACTGTATGCCCCTCTTCCTCTACAGGTCAAGCACCCTTCTTGGCTGTACCTCCACAGTCCGTAGTGTTCTTTCCTTCTGGTAAAACAGAGGGATATTGCAAATGGCACCAGTGTATGTAACACAGACAAAGCGGTCCGCTCAGGAGATGGGTGTAGAGCAGAATTGAGATCAGTTGTAAAGGAGAATGGCTACACACAACACTGACAGCAAATCGGGCTTAAAACATGCTGCTGGCATGTTCCCACTTTCTTCAGAAAGCAGTTCTTACAGTCAAAAATAACTCAGCTGTTTGGCAAACATATTACTCCACCACCTTCCTTTTCCCTCAACCACTCTTTCTCTTTAAAGGCCCAAATCCTTTATGTCTTCCTTCATACAAGGCAGCTCTTACCTTCTGCAGCACAGCTTCCCTCCTAGCAGTCAGAACAATTTCCGCACCAAAGCTGGCATAATGATATGCCATCTGCTCCCCTATTCCAGCACTGGCTCCAGTGAGGAGAACACGGGCTCCAGACAAGCTCTCTTATTAATGAGAAAGAGAAGAAAAAAAAAAAAAAAAACAGGCAAAACAAGTGAAAAGCTGCCTTTAGCTACCAGCAGGGCTCTAAAGTAAAATAGTGTAAGTCTTTGCTAGTTTTGATGCTTCTTCAGAACCAGTGAAGAGGTAGGATTGACCTAAATAAGCCATGAGATTAATAATGATTCCTCATTCTAGCCTCCTCATTGATATGGCTGCTACCTCATTTCAGATAGTCAGCCATAGCAATCTGTTTTGGCCCAGGTCACAGGAGAAATGGGCTAGTCTGACAAATCCAGGCACAGAGCAGTCTGTTAGGACCTGTCCCCTCTATCATGCAGCAAGCAGTCATTTCCATTCTGTCAACTTCAAGTTCACAATTCAGCCATGGGGTGGGAGGATCAGTCTGACCCTCTCTGCTCAGACAGCAGTCGGCATGCTGGAAATCAAACAGTCCAGTGCATTAAAATAGCTAATCCCTCCTCCTCAGCTCAATATTCTTCCATGAAGGTGGGAATTAGATGAAAGCCTGTGACTGGCATGGATCAGTTATCATGAAACACTCTTCCAGGCCCAACTGTCCGAGAACAGTATTGTTTTATTACCGCATCTTTTTGTCTTTGGTATAATGCCTCTATTTGAATATAATACCTATTATTGCCAAAGAATGACAACATATTTATGTAACACAACCCAGTCACATGCTCTTTATTTGGGTTCCTAGATCAATATCTTTCAAGGATTACGTCAGTTTTCATTGGTTATAGAAAGATTCAGAACACAGGCAGGCTCTAGGCCTCCTGCCTTCTGCTTATAATTTACCTGTTCTTTATCATCAGTTTGCAGTGCTTTTTGTGCTGAGCACTGAACACATCAAGGGATGGCCTCTGCTCCCATCAGGCTTGCTATCAAAGCAAAAAACAGGAAGGCAGTGGCAAAGTACATGCCTTTTTTTTTTTTCCCCTACATAGCAGATTCCTTTGTAAATGCTGTTAGGTCATTCTGTCATTCTTTCAAACCCTCTCTGGTCTTGGGAGCAACAGAGCGCTTGGGAGCCAATAAACTCTGTTAAGACCACAAGAAACAATAAGACTAGTCAGTGTTTTGAAATTCAACCTCTTCTCTTACATGACTTACATTCTAGCTTCACCTGGTAAGCCTACCTGGATCAAAAGCGTCTTTCCAGAAGAAAGCCAGGAGCCCAACTATGACTCCTGTAGCACAAAGGACTTTTCCAACTGCCTTCATATCCCTCAAAGTTGTGAAGAAAAAGAATAGAGTCTTGAAGCTGAGCACCTCAGCCAAAACGCTGTAATCTCCTCTTCTGGTGCTGCAATCCAACCTGCATGAGGTATGTAAAGTCATTTTCTACTCTCCATATATCCGAGATGCTGAGTAGAATCAGAGAGCCAAGAGGCTCTGTCTGAAAAATCTCTCCACTGAGGGATAAAGTCATCTTAGGCAAGAATGGAGAGAGGGAAGCACATGAACTCTTAATCCTTTGACAAAGAGCTACAAAGTAGTTGCTTTTCCCTATTAAACAAAGGCAGCACCACAGTCCGGCAAACCGTTCACATTCATCTAACAAGGTTAGGCTGTGGCTATGCCTGGCAATGAACTCCCTTTTCAGAGGAAGTAACCCTGGAAACAGCGAAGTGGCCGGACTGCAGGCAACGAAGACTGCTGTCATAAGGGAAGATAGGAGCAGGGGTGGCAGAAAAACAAGTCTGGAAGGATCTTCAGGAAATCATCCATCTCCCTGCCTTCTCTGCTACTATTTTTTCCCAGCCATTCATTTGCTTTGGGGTGACTCTTCTGCCTGTCTGTCCTAAAAGAACTGGGCAAAGGAAATTATTTTTAAAATGTCTGTCCCTATTGGAACAATCCAGAAAAACTTGTGGAGTCAGCACAGATTCCTTGTTTAAACCCTGAGTTGAAAGTCTTATATTACAGTAAATGTCTTCTGCAGTTTGTACTGCTGCATTCTATTTTATATTCTTACACACATATTTGGCAACAAAAGGCATCAAGTCTGAAATGCAAAATTAATTAAACAAGTATCTTTTTCTCCCAACACCCTAAAACATCTGCAGCTGTCCATAGGAAAAAAAAAAAAAAAAAAAAGGGCACAGAACCAAAAGCACACAGACAACTTACATTTACATGTTCTTTTCCATGCTTAGGCACCCCAGCATGCCAGCCATATGTAAAACACACAAGGCAGGGCAAAAAGCTGTGGGATTTGTTTCTGTATTTCTCTCTCTTTCGAACTTGTCCTGCAGAAGGATAATTCAAAACTTAAGTTATCATTAGAATTTAATAAATACTAACAACTTTCATTTACCAAGCTGAGCATCACTAGCCAATACGATTTCTCTATATTTTCTGAGTTCTTTTTCTAGCTTTATCGCAGGCAGAGCAGTTAGAAACAGTGAACACATGACAAATTTCAGAAAGTTTTCAGGAGTTCTGCTAAACTCATTTCACCTACTTCCACAGCTTTGCAAACATATTTAAAACTAGCATGCCCTTTCCTCTGTTCTGTGTAAAACTCTAGCAGACACAGGGAAATAATAATAAAAGATCTGATCAACAATCTTGGGAAAAAAAAAAAAAGAGAAATGAAAATTAGTGCTGAATATTCATCTTGTTTTCCTCTTACCTTACACATTGTTCAATGTGACGACTAAAATTCACGCGGGGGAAGTGGAGCCTTTGGACTTTGCAGCGAGGTCCTTGTTTCGAGGTGCGGCTGCCTAGGCGGGACCTCCGCAGCTCTGGCGACACCAACTTACCAGGAGCTGCCGCTCCCCGGGAGGAGGCAGGAGGCCGCTGCAGCCCGGGTCCCGCTCCTGACCCACCAGCCCCGCGCCCAGGAAAGCGAACTCGCTCTAAAATGCGGTCGCTGGGCGGGCACTAAACACAGCGCGGGGCCCCATCTACCCGCACGCTGGGACGCACGCGCCTCACGCCCGATTCCCCCCTTTCCCGGGACGCGCGGTGGAACCGCGCGGCGGCTCCCGACGAGCAGTTACAGGGAACCGCGAGCCCCGCGCGCCGTTTCGCTTTGAGCGCTGCAATTGCCACAGCACGGGCCCCGCCTCCGCCACCATGACATCTGCCGAGGGGAGGCGCCCGCGGCCATCTCCCGGCATACTGCGCGGCGGCGCGCTGCCCTTGGCGGAGTTATGGCCGCCAGGCTCCTTCCCGCTGTCAAGTGAGTCCCCGCGCGGCCGCCGCGTCGTCCCCGCCGCCGCCCGGCCAAGGGGGCCGCCGTCGCGGTTGGTCCGGCCGCGCACTGCGCTCTCTGCCCCTGCGCACCCAAAGGCCTGGCCGGGGCCCGGAGGCTCTTCCTGCGGGCCTAAAGGCAGCAGATCTCCCGGGAAGGGTCGCAGCGCCGGCCGGGATGCCCTTGCGCTCGCGGCTCCTCCCGTTGGTGGGGGGGTGCAGCGGGAGGGAGCGAGCAGGACTCTCTGAACAGAGAAATCCCCCAGATTCTGTGAAGGTGTGGGTCTAATTATGCATTTGCCTTTTCTCAGGGGCTGTAGCTGCTACACGCTGTGTGCTTTGGCAAGTTCTTGTTTGCCGGGTGTGGAAACACTCTTCCCTGTGATTTTTTTGAAAAATGTTCCCTTATTTAGAGTGACAAAATAAAGAAGGGTCAAGTATTCTCTTCCATTTATCAAGTTGCTGCTGGTCTTTTCACATTGTACATGCTGTGGGGAACCCTTTAAAGCATAAGCGGTGCAGGAACTGGCATGGCCAGATGTTAATGGGAGTCTAATGAGCTTAAGAAAAGACTGCCAAGTCTGGTGTCTGAGTAGTTACTCATTTAGTCTATATAGTTACTAACTAGGCAAGAAGAACCATCATAAACATGGATTTATTACCCGCAGTTAATTTTTTTTTAGTAGTAGTTTTTGTCATGATTTTCAGACATTTCAAAGTGGCATATTTTGATATTTTCACTTTTTTATTCTTCAAAAGTATCACTGATGATATGTGAACTTGGTTATGGTTGAGAGGGGTTGATAGGAAATATTCGATGTAGAAAGAAAGGGAGGCTTGCTAGATATCTTCCTACATTTTTTTAATTTTTTTTTGGGGGGGGACAGTAATAAGACATTACAGTAAAACATTTATGACCTTCCAACTGCTCTGTAAATGCTGCTTCTTTGTGCGTTACACCTGCTGGGAAAGGTACACTGATAAACATAGTGTGAACTGAGCTATATACATAATATGAGCTGAGCTGGTACTGCTTCTGATTCTTTCAGGTTTATCATCAAAGGAAGCCTGGCTGGAGCTGCTGTATACATGGTGTATGATCAGGGGCTGCTAGGCAGTGGGGTGCAAGGTGCTGAAGCTCTCAAAAAAGCCCAAGAAACCTTTCCTCCAGCTATTCAAGAATGGACAAATTACATTGGCTGGGAGGTAAGGAATGTGCAGATTACTATAGTTAGCAAACAAAGCACATTCTCTGAAAGCATGGGGAAAGTATTCTGGTTTCAATTATGTTGACAAGAGTTTTGCTGTTGAATCTGGAGTTTACACTGGGAATATTTTAAGGAGGATTGAAATGGAGGAAGAATAAAATTTTAAACATAGCGAAGAGCAATTGGTCATAGATCTTGTTTGAAAGAAGAAAGAGAAAGCCCATCCAGAGATATGTCATTATGTAGTGGTATTTCTAAGAATTTATCAGGATATCCTATAAGCTTTTCAAAAATTAATGAAAAGATTTTCTTCCTTAAAGAACTACTTTATCAAGCTCCTTACAGTCAAGCTGAATACAAATTATCCAAGTAGTCCCTTATCTTTGAGTAATCCTTAGTTTTAAAAATACTCAGAATAGAAGAAGCCTTTAAAGGTTTAAAAATTATTTTCCATGCTGCAGACTATTATGGACTAATATACAATTTTAAGCAGACAACTGCTTAGGTAATTGCGAGGATATTTTTCAGGAGCACCTAAGGGATGAATACTACCCTCTGACACCACCTTATGCTGTGGGAAAGATGAAGATGAGACTTTAAGCCACATCTGATCTCTTTTGAGCTTAGGGAGGCTAGACACCTCTTTGAGATCTGAGTTCAAGAGGCTTCTCCAAGGTCATGTGGATTGTGTTATTATTTATGTTTTTGTCTCTGTTTCTTTTCAGCTTCCATCCACTCCAAAATTTGACTTTTCTCCCTCTAACTCCTGGAATAAAGGTAAATAATTTCTCAGTAAATTGTGAAATGGAGTAAGGGGTGAAAAGTGATATTAACCTGAAGTCTTTCTTTGATACTGTCCTCCTAAACTCAATGATGAAGAAGGGCTGGTAGATACTCCACTCCAGTGAGAGGAGCATTGGGCTGGGACCCATGACCCATTTGCCATTCCTTCACTGGGTGACTTTGGGCAGTTCACTTCATTTCTGGATACCTTGATTTCCAACTATGAAGGGAGGAGGTGAATATGTTCCCATAAGCCTGTCTGCTTTTCCTAACTGAAGGAGATGATATTTCTTCTGCCTACAAAACTTGCTTTATCTGTGCCCCAAGGCAGGTTTGCATACACTATTCCTTGGCATGAGATTGAATTTTGGGAGTCTGTGGCCCCATAAGAACTAAATACAGTTTATGCACGAATAGGGAAATTCATTATTGCAGATATTAATCGGGGAAACCAGAGGTTAAAAAAAAAAAAAAAACAATCACTTCTGAGAACACTCAACCTTTAGGTTAAGTTTAAAGAGTGCATAAATTCTTAATACTATTAGTATATCTGAAATCAACTTCTGATCTTTTCAGAGGGATGAGTGTTCTTAGCACTGCTAGCTTTATAGAGAACCTATTTGAAGGACAAAGCGTGTTATAAATGCCTAGTAAATTCAGAATTTTTATAGTGCAACAAATAGTTGTCATGTAAGTAAGAGGAAACACAGTCCATAAATACTGTGACTTGTCCAAAACCATCCACAGAGTCTGTGGCAGGGCCAAGAATAAAAAGAAACTTAGACAAGTTTCAGTTCTTTGTTTTAACCTTGTAATTCTCTATCCCTTATGCTGGTCATGAAGTTAGAATTCCTGTGGCATAGGGTCTATCGAGACAATAAAATTCAAGGATTGTTCAAGCCTCAGTGTATTTGAAAGTTTCTGAAATAAAACTAGATTTTCAGCCTGAGTTTAAAGAGACTCATGATGTAACATTATTAAATTTGGCTTGAATGATGCTCTTGGGATAACTCTTGTGCTTTCCTTGCAGGAGTGCAGACAGTCATGTCTGCCTTGTCTGTAGCTCCCACCAGGGCCTGTGAATACACCATGGAAGGCTGGAAGTATGTGAAGGAACTTGTCAAATGAACACATTCTCCAGGGTTCATGGCTGTCTTCATGCTATCTTGCCTTTAGGATGCTGCATAGTCCATCCCTTGAGAGGGCAGCTCAACCATGCAAGGGCTACAATAAAAAACTTTGGAACTTCCCTTTGTATTTAAGTTGATTTTAGCTCACAGGCTACAATTATTTTTGTACCATTCTAATGATTAGAGACTTCAACAGATATTATGGATCAGTTTTACTGAAGTGATTTTATACTATATTACTATACATGACATAACCCTGTTTTTAAAGCTTCCAAATTTGCCATCTGAACAGTTGTTTCTGAACAACTTGAACATCTTGAAAGTGAATGTTGTCTAATTCAAAACAAGTCTAAAAGAATTAAAAAATTCAAAGACAGCAACAAAAGATGCATTTTGAAGACAAGCAATTGTCTTCAAGCTCCCTGAGGAAGGAGTGATCTGTTGGACAAAGAGCACATTCTTTATATAAAAGCTGCTTTCCAGTTGCCTGTGACCGTGTCACGGGAATTGCCAGTGTTTGCTGCAGTACTTCTTTTTAATGGCAAAATTGCAGAAGTGCATTTTTAGAATTCTGTGATGCAGAATGCTAATGAGAGATACAGTAAAACTTTTACCATTGCCTATTCTGTCAGTGGTTAGGTGACAAACCATCACCATTTTTAGAATTGTGTATGCTCAATGTGGCCATCTAGTTGGATTAGAGGCAGGTGCAGTTTAATTAAAAAAAAAAAAAAGGCTAGAGGAAACAAGCTCTTTATCCTAACTTAAATCTGATTTTCAGATGCAGTAACCATAATAAGGAGGATAACATCAGAGAAATCTTAACATAGGTTTTTGTTTTTTCTTAGTGCTCAGAAAGAATTCTTTTATCAGAACTGTTGTCTCCTCAGATGAAAAACTATACTTCTTTTGCAAGGTAGGTTGTCAGATATTAAAATGGTCAGGGTCATAGATTTCTCTAGATTCCTCAAAAAGCAGAACAGATCAGTGAGAAGGTGGGGGTGTCCTCCAATACATGACTGCGTGCTGGTGTAAATAGAGCTTGCTCTTGTGTGGAAAGGAAATCTCAGTCCTTCAGGGTTGTTACATCCCCTCTGAACACAGGGAGATGCTGACCTTAAAGCTGAACTGGACACGCTGGCTGTGCTGGAGCTTTACATTTCCATGCCATTAAATATTGACCATGCTGATGAAAGTAACAGACTTTCTAATTAAGGTTGGCAGGTTTTACATCTCAGTGCTCTCACCAGAGCACCTATTTCATCAAGAAAGAATAACTTGGTGGGCAAGTCAGGCCACATTGACCCAGAGATCACTAAACAAAGATAAATTATATTTTGCGTACGACAAAGTGACACAGCTCTGCACCAGTGCCATCTATTAGTTCTCAACGTATTCTGAAAATAGTATCAAAGCACAGCTACAGTGGGTGCGTCTACTTTTTTTTCCCCCCCCCAAAGGAATTGTAGGTTGCTACATAATTGTACTCTTAATGACTTGAAACCAATAAAGTTTCAGGCTATCCTGACACTTTAGAGGCTAAAAAGAAATGATTCTGACTTGTTTCTGCAAGTCATTACTGCCAACATTGTTTATTTTCTGTTATAGAAGCTGTACTGGTGAATCTGGGGACAGCACTGTACACACAGTGAAGAATAACCTAAATTCAGTATTATGGTGCACAGTGCCTCCCAACATGAGACAGAAGTGGGGGGGGGGCATGGGGCGTCTTTACCACTTGTCCTCCAGGATTGTAAATCACATTATTTTGCAGGAACAGGCTGTTCAAACTCTAACAGTTGCAGTCAACTAAAATTCTTGCATGAATTTGTAAATTAATTAATTTTAAGATTTCTAAAGTAATAATGTCAAGTGTAGTTCAGGGAGCTCTTCCTGATAGCACAAGGGGAGACCTGTAAAGGATTTTCAAATGTTATCTTAGGAAAGAAAAAAAAAAAGGGGGGGGAGGTTAGTATAGAGTTGAGACAGGCTGGTTTCCAAAACTCCCAGTTTCCAGTTACTCCCAGTGACTTCTGAAACAAAGCAATTAACTGTAAACTGTTTTTATTAATGGAAAATGGAATGCTTCATTAACAAACATTTTAAATGGGATATGAACAACACATTACAAAACAAATGAGTTCACATTGGCTTAAGGATATATAATATGGCAGCAGCTTAAAAAATTACACTTAAAGAAACCCATAAGTTACGATTAATGGTAACCCTGGGTAACAGATGCATTTCTGTTGCCATCTTGCATTAAAAATTAAAACGCATTCAGTAGCGACGGTTGAAACGTGGATCAGTGGGTCTGTTCGCTCTCTCTTGGCCAGCAAATCCTTCTCCTTGCATTCCTCCTCCATGCATCATTTGGCTTTGGTTGCCACCTTGCATGAAACCTCCACGCCTAAGAAGAGGGGAGGAGGGCGCGGGGGGGAAGGAGAGATTCAGGTATTTTAATTTTCTCTTGCAACTTTGGTTGTCAGGCTGAAAGAATGCATGTTTTACCTCTCCTGCATAATTTTTCACTGTTTTGAGCAGGATACAGTAGATAAAAAAGCACTGGAGTATTTTTTTAGTTCCCTGGCATCTAAATAACAAATCAGGTAGAAAAAGAGTGTGTTTTTTTTTTTTCTTCATAATTTTAGTACAACAGACCTTCCAATTTCCCTTCCCCTTAAAGGACAAGAAAGAGTACTTTGTTCCTCAAAACATTCTTACCCTGACATGCCTCCCCGATGCATCACATGGCCAGGTCTGCCTCTACCTCCACCTACAAAAGTTTACATACAGCAATATCAACCATTTCACTTTTATCTCCAAGACTAATAATGCTTGTAATTTCTGCTAGCGGTAGCACACCTAATGAGTGCTTGTGCCCAAAGCATACCTTGCCATCTCTCATGATCCCGTCCTATCATTCCTCCATCCACATTGCTCTGCCATGAACGATCCTGATGTCCTTCAAACTTTCGACCGTGATCTCCCCAGTCACGTCCATCTCTGCAAAGGTATTAAATCCATGTAACTTTATGCTAACTGGAGCATACAAAATAGATTCAAAATAGAATGCCACAGTCACAAACACATTCAAAGTTTTCACCAAGAGGCATACCTATCTTGTATTGATTTTGGACACACCTGTTTAGACAAGTCTTACTAACTGGCTGCCTACACAAGGTCCCTACCATGCTACACAAGAAAACGGGATATTCTTAACCCATTTCACACTGTACTGATTCCTCAGATTCTTTCTTCAAGTACGCCATTTTGCTGTTTTGACAATCAGATTATTTTTGTTGTATTTTGTAGGCCAGTTTACTTAGAGAAAAAAAAAAGTACAAAGTAGTACAAAAAGTACAAATCTTGTTTTCCTTTTACTGACTTGCTTTCCTTTCAAAGGCTGATAGGATGCTCCTACCAACAAATACAAATTACAAACCATGAAGACAGACTACTATGAAAATGTGAAGCCTTAACAGAAACAGAAACAAAAATTAATCAAAACCATGAGGACTTTCAGATGTGAAGTTGGTTTAAAAAAAAATCAAGCCAAGATGCCATTTTGATGCAAAAATCATGCTATCTAATGCAAAATACCATGCCATTTTGATGCAAAGGTAATTGAAGGAACTACTCATTTATTGTCGATCCAAAACGAACAGACTTGAGTAAAACTTGGATAAAGCAAAACTGTGCTTTCAAAACAGCATCCAACCTTTACACATGAAAATATTCACCAGGTGTACATGAAAACAAACAAAAAACCCCAAACCATTCTCATGTACACTAACCGGGACTGTGGGGGGATCCCTCTACTTTCACTCATTCTTCTGTCAGATCCATAGCTTCCCCAACTCTCCCGAGAATCCCTTGAATGACGGTCTGGTCCTCCGTGGCGCTCATCTGGATAATGCTAAAAGACAAAGAATGTTTTTAGAAATGCCCAACCATGACTCCATATTTGTTAGAAGTAACCCAGCTGCAATTATTCCATCTCACAGCACAGCCATCAGCATTTGAGGATTCCAAGACTTGACAAAAATCATCTCTCATTGCTTGAATCTGCCCCAATAGTCTTCCCCTTTCCCTCCCATCCACTTAAGAATTTGCCAACTTCTTTATCAGTTTTGCTGTTATTTCCAAACGACTGAGTGAAGCCTCCTCTGTGACCTGTTCACTTCCATAGGTATTTTGTATATTTGCATTTTCTTCATAATCACTTGCAATATTCTATCTCTTTTGGCATGCTTCGCTTGTTTCATTCACAGCATGTCAAAATAATTATCTCCGATTTTCATAATGAACAAGTATTCAAACTACATTTCATCCTTACCTATAAAAAAAGGACAATATTCTTATAATGGATATGAGTTTCAGTCTACATAATCTAGTTGTTACGGGTTTATAACCATATATAAAATGGGTTGAAGATGAAAAAAATTGAACGGGTTTATAAAAAAAATAGACACTTTGTAGTTTTATAAAACTCCAGAAGTCTCTAAAAGGAACTCACTTGTCCATCCCGATCTGCCATCATTGTTCTTGATCCATCTCTCCTACAAACAGACAATTCAAATGAGATTCCGATATTCCATTAGCAAAATACACACTAGTCTGTAACAATTCAATTAGTGCAAGACTTTCACAGATAGAAAATCCTGCTTCCATAAAATGCTAACAAACAGCTGGAATATACGGAAGCTATGACACACTTTAGCTTGCTGGAAAACATAATTAGTCCTAAAGTATAAAACAATATTCTCAGTTTAAATAGGTTCCTAGAGGAAAATGCTAGGCGTCTAAAGCACTATTATTTTTTTTTCCAGAATCCTACCAAAAACAGTTTGAAGCAGTGTGACAAGCAGAACAATCTGAACAAGCCTGACAGACAAAAGGTTTAACTCATAGCATAGTACAGATCTCTTCAGAGATACAAAGTTATATAGGATTTCAAAAGACAAACAGTACAGAAAAGGCGGCAAAAAGCAACATGATATAACATTTTTGCCTTTTGGTTTCAGGCAACACAGTGAAGGTACAACACCAACCTGTCTATTGAATGGTCTTGATAACGGCCACGATCCCGATGATCAAAGTCATGGAAGCGATCCTG